GTTTTTGTTCCATTATGATTTCAGACACTTTCCATGATACTTTGCCATTGCTTTTCGCGTTAGATTTTTTAATACATCAGCAGTCACCAAGTCGAAGTCGGGAGCCTTTTTTGGTTTAAATCTACTTTGAATAATATTTTCTACTTCTTTATTTGTTGCACGCAAAACGACTAAATGTTATAGTTAGTCTCTCTGAGAAAACTCCCGCTTTTTCTTTGTAAATAATAATGCTGAGAATCTTTGTTAAACTGTTTAGTTGTCTTATTCTTTATGAGTTCTAAAATATCGGAAAACAAAACCCAGATACTTTTCCACCCCAGGTATTCAATATATCTATCTGGGAATATTGGGTGGCGTAGAATATATCTTTTTCTAATCTAGGTGAGGGCTGGGCATTCGCATTAATAACGCCTCTCATCATCCTTCACGCATGCTCTACATTCCGTCAAATCCAGATCTTAAGAGTAGGTGCCATGAAATTAACTCTAGAATGTTACTATACTCCCTTTTGTCTTGAGTTATGAGCTTTTTGGTCTGTCTACCATCAACGCTAATAAATTAAGCGAACATAGGCATTAGAAGTGTTGACACCGGCAGCCTTAAAAAGTTTAGAACTATTAAACGCTTTGATATCAATTTTGGAGAAGCCTAACCTTATTAAAGGCCCTTCTGATGGTGCGTCGAATATTCTTTAGTTCTTAATTCATCCGAGATTTATCTTTAGTCGAAACCGTCCTCCGAAGAAGACATCCTGATTCAAAGCAGGATTGCGTGAAATTTTTTATTGCTATGTCTACATCTGACACAGAACTTGTCGGGTCGGGTACCGTGAGTGTACTTATGGAGCGACTCAGTTCACTAAAATATATGTTGTAGCTGATTTTGGACTTATTCCTGCACATCGGTAGCTCTAAGCCCCCGATATTATCTTTGAAGTCGATGTACCTGTGGCCAGAAAAGAAGTAATCTCAAGAGAATTTCCAATCCGATATTAGGTCTACCATACTATGGTATGTAACCCATATTTCTGGTTGTGCATACCTGTTCTTTCTACACACCCCCAGATCTTCATCGGCTTTTTCKTGGAGATGGGGACTCGAAGGGCATTGACAGAAACACCAAAAGTAGTGGGTTGTTGGCCATCTTCATCATTGTGATGTTCGGTGTCGATATGTCTGCTAAAAGAGAGTACTTCTGTTATGTTTTTCATAAAATGCAGGATCTTGGCTGGACATTACGTTGATTAAGAGAGCTTAAGCTAGACTGAGCTTATCCCAATAACCCGGCGCATAAAGTTACTGTGGTCATGGAATAGGGCTACGTCACTTTTACTAGTCTGTCAACCGGGATTGTGTACGCCATGCTGCTACCGYWGCWRCGGWAGCAGCATGGCAATTAGCAGATTTTTGACGCTGGGAAAACCTTGTGCTTATACTGTATCTTTAAGGTCACAAAAAAGAACAGAAGTTGTAATTTTTTGTATAAAAAGAATTGTATTTAAAAAAGGAAAAACAAATATATAAATAAATATATTTATGTATTTGGATATGAATGTGTATTACACTCATATACTTAAGTTGATGCCTCTGCACCATATAAGAGGACGGGAATAATGAGTGACTTACAGAGTTAGGTCTTTGTTCGTCGAGAGAGGTCTTTACTTCTCAATTGTCCACTCAGTCCGAAGTAACACCTTTTCTCAAGAGTTATTCTGCGTTGGATTTCAAGGTGGACGTTGTCGCTCATTGCATACTCAAATTCCAATCGTCGGGCATGCTTTCGTCTGATTTTATTCTACAAAGTAACTGATGCATGATCCTTATCAGTTCTTCTCCGCCTAATTTTAATAGCTCGGCCCGGATATTTCTGGTGCATTCCCTTAAATCTTTAATGCGTTTGATGTGGTCGTCATCAAAGCGGGGTCTCTTATCCAAGATTATTTTGACCAGTTTGCTTTCAGGATACCTGGTCTAAGACTGGAAATCGTGAGCTGCTTGAGTCATATGTGAAAGAATCGTTTCTGGCTACTCCCAAGTGAATGGTTTCCTCATTTGCGTGAACTTCTAGGCACGTCTCCATCCGAAACGATTTACCAAAACGAAAACCAACGCGAATCTTTTTTATAGAGGTGACCAAAAATTTGAATCCCGGAGGACCTTTACAACTTCAATAAAAATTTAAAAAAACGCCTCCACAAATTATTAAGAACTAAAAAAACCCGAATTATTCTTACAATAATTTAAACGAAATACCCCCAGAATATTGTCAATGGAAAGTTTTCTTGTCCGTTTATTTTTGTATGTAAATAGTAATGAAAACTTAGTGTTGAAATTTGTCCGCTTATATATTATGAAGAAGTGTCATGCAATATTATATGTTCACTTAATTTTTTTATCCAATATTATACGTTCACTTAATTTTATTAAAATACATATTGGCCTATATTTAGCATCAAGCGAAATTCTCATATAAACTATAGAGTTAGTGATATAGTTACAAGTATTAATCCGATTTTATCCATGTTATTACATATCAGTAGAAGAAATATATACCCTCTGAATTTCACTAAATAGCTCACAGATTCGCCAATAATAAGGTATAAAGTCAAGCTAAAGTTTTAAAATCCTTATACTAGATATATTGGGCTAGGCAAAGTATTTACCCGATTGCATTAATTTTATGCATAATGATATACTGTTATAAAAAGGATATTATTTTGAATTTTATTAAAATTTCTTACATATTGGTGTAGAGATCCGAAGTAAAATGTTTGAAAATTTTTAGAAAAGATATTTTGGGGAAAGTTAAAGCATTGAACCCATTTTTCCAATTTTTTACACATGGGCACAGTTATAACGGAAAAAATATCAAAAAAAAGTTTTACATACCTCAAAATCATTTTATGTGCAACGTTTTACTCTGTAATCTTATTTAATGATTGATTTAGATATAAACTGAAAATCTGGRCAATAATATGAAATTAAAAACAAGTAAGGAAGGGCTAAGTTCGGGTGTCACCGAACATTTTATACTCTCGCATGATGAAGTGATAATCGAGATTTCTGGCGTGGTTGTGAACCGATTTCACCCATATTTGGTACATGTCATCAGGGTGTTAAGAAAATATTATATACCGAATTTCATTGAAATCGGTYGMGYACTTCCTGAGATATGGTTTTTGGTCCATAAGTKKGCGACGYMACKCCCATTATCAATTTTTAAAAAAAGCCTGGATGCAGCTTCCTTCTGAAAAAATTATTAATATTGGACTTTTAATATATGGCGAAACTAYTTAATTCATTTTTTATGATTTTATGGTATATTAAAACAACTGACTTTCGATATTTCAATACTTAATAAGGTGAATTAAGCCTGTTTTTAATCATTTGGAATAGAATATTAATTCTATTATGCATCAAATTACAAAAGGTTTCACGATATATATTTGAATTTCGCATTTTCATTGATTTTCATTGTTTTAAATTTTTATTAGCGATCTTGAACGGCGGCAATAAATTCCTCCGTTGACATATATTTTTGGTATAATTTCGATCTGGCCGTTCCAGTCATTCCAATTGCAAAACGTCAAAACCTACTCAATCCAGTTAACTGTCAAAGTTCGGTAGGTTTTGAGCAATTGAGGAGTTGGGGATCTCATTATCTCTGGTAGTTGGTGTGCATTTACTTTAAGCTTGTTTCTACATTTTAGCAGTTTCGCGTTGGCTGCTTTCCATAATTTATACAATTATTTCCTTTTCGCGCTATTTCGGCAATTGTGTTGGTTTGTGCAAAACTTGAACTTCCTCTTCCTTCTCATATGCTTCAGCATCATCTTCTAAAATGTGGTCGATTAGTTCGTCCTTCACTTTTCGAATTTCTCCAAAAGATTGGATCTTTTATAAATTTTTTTAAATCCGTGTCAAAGTGATGAAAAATGTCCGGATATTCTATATCCAAATCTTCTAACAGCACATCACGATGAAGAGAACTATAAGTAATTTCGGGCTCTCCTTCTTGTAATCTCGCTTTGCAATGTTTAAGATACAATTACAATTTTTCAATTTCAATAAAAATTTTTGTAAAGTACTTTGTGTGAAAATTGTGCATTTGAGCAACATAAATTTCAAAAGTTTGATATCATCACTTTTTAATATAATTATTTTGCGGAGATCATCCATTACTTTTCTGAGGAGTTGAATTTTTCTCTTGAATATGGTGATTCCATTATCAAAATCAAGTCTATATGATTTTATTCGGTCAGTTGTCATGTMATTTCGCAATGGCTTTGTTGGAAAAGCGTTTTAGGTGTCCAACACCGTTTCGGATAAATACGGAAATTTTTAATTTTGGCCGAGCTCTTTATCCGGCTCGAAGGAAAAAAATTGTTGGATTTGTAAGATCAAACATTGAACTCAAAAACGAATCTTTAAGTTCTTTTCGCTGATAGGAGAATATTAAAGACTTTTCTTGAGTGAGAATTTATTTCATTCAAATTTTTATTTTGATATTTTCAATGCTATATTATATAATATTGTTTTAGGAAATCATCTTACATAACAGAATATATGTATATGATATAGGGTTGTTTTCCATTGTGCAATTCAATACATGTGTGTATAAATATGTGTTATATTATCTTAAAATAGATATTTGTATTTAGTGTACTGTTTTTACATACTTATGTGTTTGATAATGTACAGTTTCAGCATTATCTACTATTGAAATGATCTTTGAACAGGAGTTATATCCTAGGTGCTCACCTGTAATTAATCCGTTGTTATGGTATTCTTTTAAAATTAAAGTGCAAGTTCTTTCTTTTGACATTCTCGTTGAATGTTATTAAATTTCATCGATTGTTTTCATTAAGTAAAGACTAATAGACTTTAGTACAAAATCAACAAAATTTAAAAAATTTCATACATACATGTGTACATATAGTATAGTACATACATATAAATGGATATACGTTACTTATTTCAGTGACTTTTTTTTATTTKCAGAAAATAAAATACTAAGCTATTGGTTAACACATCTAATACCATTCCTTGTACTTGCTGCCCTGAAATGCTCTAATTCAGTATTAGTGCGTGGGGTTTTCATTGATGCAGAAGGTACATCCGATGAATGTGTAACTATTCCAATAAATTATGTTAAACTACATTTTGAAAGAGAACGCAAAAAGAAATGTATATATATGTGCCATCAGACGGACATGAAGAAAAAGGCGAATAAGGATGGTCAAATCAGTTTACTCGAGAAGTCTGAGAAAGTAGTAATTAAAAAGCAAGCTGGCAAAGATGCAACACGCCTTGTATAACCAATATACATAGATGCATGTATGAAATATTTTCTACATGAGAAGTATGTACATCCAACCGTGCGCGTTAATAGATATGTGATTTACCAGAAGGAAAAAGAGGAAGTTTTAAAGACCCATTAAAATTTTACCGAAGATAAAAGTGCTTTTAGGTGTATTAATAACTTATTTTTAATATCTAGTCTAGGTAATCTGGAATATCTTCTGCAACACGAGTAAGATCCAAAACTCATCATCTATCTAGTAGCTTGAGGATCAATACATTTTGAAGAAGTAATATTAAATTTAAAATATCTTATTAGAAGGTCTAAATAAATCCAATTCAAAATCTGAAGCCATAATTGCGTAAACTGTCTTACACGTTTTTTTAATTACACTAGTTTACAATCATTTTGAGATGTTAGAAACTGTATCTATCTAAAACTATAAATGATAGTAAAAATATTTTAACACATGGGATTTCTTTTCTTGTAACCAAGGGGTGTAGGGGTCAAACCACCACACTTTACTAAAATGTAAAATTGGTAATCAGAACACCTAAAATACTTCACAGACCCTTAGCACATTAGTCGCAAATTTTTCCTTCAGATTACTTAGAGAATGTGCAGTTATAAATTACACATCATTTATAAATTACAGGCAAGAAAAAAGTATACATGCGTCTTGAGTAAATGTGGTAAAAAGGTGTGGATTTTTGGAAAGTTTTTTAATTATTTAGGTTAATATTTTTGGAAGTGATATGAATTTGGAGTAAATCAAGTACTGCGCTTGAAGCGAAGAAGAATATTACATGTACAGTCAAATATGGAAGAAGCAGCGTTATGGTTTGCRGTGCCGTAAATCACATATTTGGGACGTTCAATAATAGAAAATACGCAAATGTAACATCAGCAAAAATGAAACCCTAAAAACTGCTTTCACTCGAGCTTCAGCCGAAATTCCCTATATGTATATATATCTGAAAATTTGGGGACTTCATTGCCCCGACTGTACTAGTAGTGATTAATTTCCCAAGTGGACCAATGAAATACTAAAATTCAAAGAAAAAGAAAATTTTCRATATTTGATGTAGCTATATACAGATTTTTTCCTGGTGATTTTTGATGTTTCACAAATAAACTTCTTTAAAAATGTATTTAACGACCTTTTTTTTACTAAAAGATTTTTCAAATTGCAAAGTTGAAAGGCATATATAGACATTTCTCCATGATTACATATTTGTTAAAAAATTTATAGTCCATTTTCACCACCCAAAACCTGATCAGTGAAACTAAGTGAAAATGACCGGAAACTACATCAATACTCATATTGCAGTTGATTTCTTACATTTGTGTCATAATCATTGGGATATATTTAAATTAATTTTCGTAAATTTGCGAATTGCGATGTAATTAGTAATAAGTACATATTATGTTGTTTATATTTACATGTTTGATCTAATGCTTGCTGTTACCAACTTCTAAACCCTCGTTATTTGTTGATATTACATGTTTTTAAACTTTGATTGAATATTTTTTGAAATAACATTACATATTTGAGACAMACTTTTACGGCTAAGATTTTACAAGACCTTGGTTAACATCTTATTACCGCTAAAGTTTTCATTATTTCTTAATTATGCAGCCAAATATTTTGTCGTTTTCAGTCCACAAAACATTACAGAATACTTTAGCCATATAACCTAATGATAGCCAAAATAATGTAATTTAGTTTAAGAGCACTGTATGTATATATGTTATTGTTTAACATCTTGTATAAATAAAATATGTGTCAAATAAATGTATAATTGTTTTATATTATCCATCTTGTCATATACAAATATCTTTTTTGATTTTGTTTTTAACAACTTTACTATTGTACTCGTTGACATACAAATGTACATGACATAAATGCATTTTTTTAATAGTTGTCTTCGATACGTTATTTCTCCACTCTCTTTTCACTCAAATTTGTTTTCACTAAAAAATAATACCTTCTCATCAGCGGTTGAAAAACTACGCTCCTCCTGTAACATTTCATTTTGCTATTGCTATGATTAAAAACATTTATTAATTGAAAACTAACAGGCTTAATTCACCTTAGTAATTAAGTATTGAAAGTTCAAAAGTCAGTTGTTTTAATGTACCATAAAATCATAAAAAAGGATTTAAGTAATTTCACAATATATTAAAAGTCCAATAAAGTCGTGATAAATGTTGGGTGTTTTAATTTTAATGCACCAAAAATACTTATTTCGTTCGATCTGTAYAATGTTATACGCTTATTTTGAGGCGCTCTAACACATGAATACATACAGAAATTTAGCGCCTATGAGAAATGTAGCGGTGTAGGTATTTGGGTGCAGTGTCATATTTTTGAGAACTCATTAAAAAAACATTAAACATATTATGACTGATCAAACAAATATAAAACATTGATGAAGGTATTGGCTTATCAATTAACCCAGAAACGAGGTAAAAGTTCTGTTTGGAGTGTGCTTGCGGAAATAAAGAAAAACGATAGAGCTAAATACAAATACTTGTCATCACGAAAGCGTGTCGTTGTGTTGTTTTTTTTTTTTTGTGACTGGTGTATAGTATTTACAAAAAGCAAAAGTAACTTGAGAGAATGAATGTACTAATTTTCCCTCTAAAAGCTCTAAAAGTAAGCCATCAATTATAATATCAGAAAATTTTAACAAACCCTTGGTGCGTTCTTTGATAAACGCAGAAGTAAAAAATTCTTACATACTTAAGCTCACTGGCGCAAGTTCATGTTAAATAAGCCTTTCAGACAGTTCAATCTATAGAATACTCAAAAGAAATTCATACGAAGCCAAGCAAATAAATTTAACATATTTTAACATATTTGTCGTCAAGCTCGAGCACATCAAGACATCGAATCTTGTCTCGTAGTGTAAATCCTGTCGTTCGGTCATACTAGAAGCTATATTTGCAAACCACTAAAGTGTGTGAAGTGCACCGGAAATCATACAACTCTAAGTTGCACAAAACGTGCCGAACTACCGTCAAATACTGTAAGTACAACCGCTTTTACCACTCCACAGAAGGAAGATACCAATTTAAGCCTGCAATCTGAAAAACCCTCATTTGTTAGCATAGCTAATGGTACAACTAACTAAGTTCAACAATATATGTCTGCAAACCAAACCATTCCAAATGCTATTGGTGATAAGTACTACCGGTAATTTCTCGTTACTTCTCAACCAGTTTAATAAGCTAGAAGAACAAAATAGACTCATACGCGAACATCTTACTCAGCTCAGCGCCAGCAAAACGGAAATGCAGCACAAAAATAAAACCCATAAAAATTATAACCTGGAA